GGCATAGATCGTTGTCTGGTTGCCAGTGCATCCCTTCTTGCCGAACCGCTGGGCCAGGATGCGCTCAATAGTCTCGCACTTCTCCTCTTCCTCGGCTGCGGCGGCAGTGGTGGCAGCCTGGCTTTCATCGTACTCAAACTCAAGCAGATCCTCCGAGTCGGTAGCCTCGTCCTCAGAGGCCTCCTTGTAGCTAACTGCAGCGGCCGTGCGACGTGTAGCACAGCTGGTGAAAGAGGATGAACATGAATCAGGATATGTGTTGAAGCATCAGGATCGGGATCATTACCGTTTGCTGGCGTCGTCATCGTCACTGTCCTCGGAACTAAAGGATTTTACCCTACGTCGCTGCTGCTGCTGTGCGGGTTTGCTTCGGGAGGTAATTGCTGCTGATTTGCGCCTTTGGGCGGCGGACACATCCTCATCACTGTCCTCGCTTTCGTCGCTATCGTCCGAGTCCCAGCTGGCATATAAACCGAATGCATTTGCAAAAAAGATTTAGAAAAAGGAAGCTAAAAATCTCACGTTTTCTTTTTGTTCTTGGGAGTGGGAGCTTTCTTGGTTTTTTCTGCTGCAGTCGGTGGTTTGCGCGCCTGGCGCGTTCTCTTGGGTTTGTAGTCCTCCTCCTCTTCCTCCTGAATGGAGAAAGGTTAGGAATTTTTAAAGAAATATCCGCGGATCCCGACTTACACTGCTGCTGCTGGAAGATGTGGGCGAGACGTTGGCAGAACTATCACTTCCTTCGTCGGCAGAAGCATCGCTGGTTGGCTGCTGCTGACCAGCCTCAGTCTCATCGTCTTCCTCCTCATCCTGCTCCGGCTTAGGCAAGCTGATGCTGGTATTGGCATTGTTGTTGCTCTGGTCCCTTTGATTTGCTGGGTCATCCGATTCGGAATCGCTGCCGCTGGACCCGTCACTGGAGCTGTCCTCCTGATCGTCTGTGAATCCGTTTGTCTTGCTGTCTGCCTGGGCAGCAGCGGCCGTCGGTGGAAACCCTGCCACCGATAACGGTTTCTCCTCCGGCTCTGGGGAACTGCGTCCATCGCTAGAGTTGCCCGAGGAGCTATCCGAGTCAGAATCGGACCCAGAGGAGCCACTACCGCTGCCACTGCCACTATGGTCGGTGCCATTTGTCTCGTCCCTATTATCATCTTGTTCGTCTGAGCCAATACTATTCGCCGATTCATTGAGTGCCTGGTCAGTTACAAAGAAATTAAAGGTGAAATCAGTCTAGGCTGCAGGTAAAAATACTTGGTGTCAGATTACCGTGAGGAACAAAACAGTTTAAGTATCAACACGGGCTTTGGGCCTGCCAATCGTGGCCAGAAATCGCCAGTATTACTTTAAAATGTAACCAAAATGGTGAAAAAGGTAAAAGGTTATCCTTTTTTCGCTCCCCAAGGGCAGATCACAATCATACTGAGTCAGAAAACTGTTATGCAAGACAATTGATGACATTGTGGAAGAATAATTAGCCCTAATCCCCTCAAGATTAATGCCTAACTTCAAAACCAACGAATCCTTATTAAAAACCCGTGAACTGCGAAATAAAGGGCTTTGGGCACTAGTAGAAAGGCTACAATATAAAACAGAGTGGTTAATCGTTTAGTAAAGTGCACGATGATGGCTTCCACGGTGCAAATCCTCTCCAGAATTTCGCTTAAGCTACCTTTAATGATCAAAAATGAAGAACAAATCTAACAACGATCGCGGCACCGGACAGCACACGAAGGAATCACATGACTACTTCACACAGTACGCGGTAGCCACAAAACACATATCCTGGTCAGAAAAAACGGGGAAATCCTTAAAAACAAACTGGTTTTTGGACTCCTGGACACGATCTTCCCATGAAAAAAGCACAAAACTATGGATTTAGGCTTGTCAATTGAAAGAAAATTATTTTTAATAATGGGTTCTGATAAAGGAAGGAGGAATTCCAGGAAATCATTTGCCGGTTGCCTTTTGGCGGGTTCAGAATCCCCAGGAAATTGGACAGAAATCCGCCAGAGGAAACTTTGCACCTAGCAATTTCTGATTACGTAATCGATGAAAATTTTCAATTTGGTCGGAAAAATAATGAAATCCATGTAATTTGAAGGATTTTTATAGCCGCATTAAATGAAAACAAACCGAAATTCTTGAATTTGAGCGGATTTTGCGAAAATGGGTACCCAATGGATTTTTACAAAATCCACATTGGCTGCCACGTCGGAGCCTTACGAGCAGTCAGGCAGGGTCAAAAGGATGAAACACATACGGGATAATGGCCAAATCTATCCTTTTGTCCAAATGCTCCACTAGCAGCCGCGCGGCGACCCATCAAAGTGCGGGTGTCTCGCGACGAGGGGACTTCTACGGACTTCGGGGCTGAACAGCCACGCCCACGAAACGGAGCGTTTGTCACGTATGTAGCACTTGTTTTACGTTTATACTCACACGACAACTAGGATCAAACTTATTTGAATTGTCTCGCTTCGAATGATAGAAGAAATTCATAGTTTTTCCGATTTTTTCACACACACCGACGTTCGATATTCACAGCTTTTTCAAGGCCTACTCACCTGGCTCATTATATTGTCGTGGTAGCACACACAGTTGCCGTATAGCGCTCATTAAATACAGGGCATTCACTTGTTTACGGTCGCTGGCAAATGTTTATGTTTTTTCTGCAAGCCACTTGTTTTTAAATGCACTTTATCGAAACAAAAAGATCGTTTTTCACGTTTTACTCATGCGACGCAGCAGAAATCCACCATTTTGAATTAGTGTGGACGTGCGTAATAAGATGGAGATGACATTGAACGATAGAGGTGAGCAAAAATATATATCGAAATTAAAATTTAAAAAATATTTTGTTATTTTAATATGCAGTCTTATATCAGTGGTTAAAAAAAATTCTGACGTGTCATTGTATATGTGGTTACCCATGGTGTACAAATATTAATACATAGTTTTTTTTATGATATCTAAAAAATTATCCAATGGTGCTCTACTTGAAAAATCAAGATCCAAACATTTAATATTAAATCTGTTTGCTTCTGCTTGATACCTGTGCTTTTTAAAGGTCTGTAAATATACCGCTCGAAAATGTGCAAAAGTAATAGTAATAACTCACTGCTTCATTTATGTTTAATTTATATCTTAGTTATTCTATATAAGCACAGCTGACTTTAAAGTTATGAATAATTCGATTTCCACAATTCAATACTTTTCACTGTCGAGTAGGGCAATACTGCAGCCATAAACCTTAATTTTATATATTCTTGAAAAATTAAACTGATAAAAAAGAGGAACTTTTACATTATATTTGTAATCAGTGTTTTCACTATTACAGGACCTGGGTAGCTAATATCCAGTATTTACTGTGCTGCGAAATCGATAACTTATCGCACCTCACAGGTGTCTTAGAAGTCAGCTGTGGGCGGTGTACATTACAATTTAATCGTATCGTTTTGTGTTCTGGAGCTGGAACTGCGATTTAATTAAATTAGGGGTTTGGACATGTAGCACAGCTGGACCATACGCCAACATGAAAGAAGTGGGCATCGCGCTGCCCAAATCACGTGGCGTTGGCGTAGGAGTACTTGGAGCCTTCCTGTTGTGCTTCATATTCTACTACTTCTACGGGGGTTACATGACGTTGGCGCTCTTCGGCATCATCATCCTACGTACGTATCCGTTTCGAGCAGACTTTCGCATTCAAAATGTTCCCTTTCAGTGATATTCTACTATGCTCAGGACCTGCTACTCTATCATCCGGACCTGCCAGCCAATTCCCGCATTTACGTGCCCATTCCGACGATGCACAACTTGCCTCACATCACGGTCAGCATCAAGACACCCGACGACGTCACTTTGCACGCCTTCTGGATAAGCCAGCCGGAGGAGCGCTCCAAGTCGGTGCCCACGTTGCTCTACTTCCACGGTAACGCTGGCAATATGGGACACCGCATGCAGAACGTTAGTGGAGGCCCAAAACTGGATACCAACTCCCTATTACAACACTTTGATTTATTTCTCAGGTCTGGGGCATCTATCACCACCTGCACTGCAACATTCTTATGGTGGAATACCGCGGATATGGCCTGTCAACTGGTGTGCCAACTGAAAGAGGCTTGGTAACTGACGCTAGGGCGGCTATTGATTATCTGCACACCCGCCACGATCTGGACCACTCCCAACTGATCCTCTTCGGGCGCTCCCTGGGCGGAGCCGTGGTCGTTGACGTGGCCGCCGATACCGTGTATGGCCAGAAACTAATGTGTGCCATTGTAGAGAACACATTTAGCAGCATACCGGAAATGGCCGTGGAACTGGTCCATCCGTCTGTGAAGTATATACCAAATCTATTGTTTAAGAATAAGGTAAGTCTGAGGCTTATATAGTTGAGATTCGACCCTATTTTCATATCCCCTTGCAGTATCAGTCCATGAGCAAGATAGGCAAGTGTTCGGTTCCATTTTTATTTATATCGGGCCTTGCGGACAACTTAGTGCCACCGCGCATGATGCGTGCCTTGTATACCAAATGCGGCAGTGAGCTGAAGCGCTTGCTTGAGTTCCCCGGAGGATCGCACAACGACACCTGGATAGTAGATGGGTATGGTTGGCAGAAATTCTTTTTTTCCTATTATCCATTGGTTGCTCTTTAGGTACTATCAGGCAATCGGAGGATTTCTGGCCGAGCTGCAGCAGGAGCCGCTCCAAAAGGCGCCGGAGAAGAGCAATGTCTGGGTGGAGCTAGAGCATAAAATTATTGATGTATAGCTCCTAGACCCGAATACATCAAGTGTTCAATTGACTGTGTTAACACTGCGAATGGTTTAATACTTATATACACAAACGAAATATTAATCTGTATATGAAATGGTTTTAATCGAGACATCGCTATATGCTATGTTGCTTTTTATGTGCAGAGAATAACGTGCTAGCGATATGGCTGTTGATTTATAATAACTATTATTATCCGCTTAAACAAATGAACCCACTTTACAACCCGAATTTTTCCAAACTCCTATCGGCGCGAAGTTTATTTGTACTAAGCTATTAAAAACTACGACTTGACTAATATGTAATTGGTGGCCACTTAATATTATTGAAATTAATCAGTATTTCACAAAAGAATAATCCCATTTTCTGGACTGATTCCTAATTTGCCAGATTTGTTCAAAAGAGCTTTCATCCCTAGCACGTTTACATTTTGTGCTGGTTCCATTTTTGAAATGTTAAACTATTTAATTGTTAAGATTGCGACGGAAGCCAGATAAACTGTCTTAAGTTTAGACTTAAGTAAACAAACATTGGGCAAATTAATAAACAATGCAAACAAGTGCAAGAATAAACAATATTCGGCAAACAATGTTTAGAATCCAATAAAGTCCTCGTCAGCACTGTCATCACTAAGGGGCGTAGATGGACGCTTGCGGCTAATTGTTTTTTCCTCTAATGGTTCCTCCTCTGGCTTTGCCACAATCTCTTGAGCCTGCGACCGGTGGTGAAAGACAAAGGAGACGCACTTGCTATCCGTCCAAGCCTGGGCAAGGATACTGTCGGGCAGACCACGATTGTTAGAGCAATGGAACCACTGAGACAAATGCGATGTGCAGTCAGTGTCATCGGGCGGAGGCTTTGTTTGAATATTTTGTACGCAGCGTTTGCATTTAAGCCTAAGTAACATTTTTTTAATAAATACTAAATGAATATAAAAAGAATTTTCTTACTTGTCGTGCGTATCAGACAGAATGTTTGCATCAAATCTAAACAAGTCCTTAAGGTCTTCGCGGGTAAAATGCTTTTCGGCCGATTCGTTATTGTCAATAATTGTGCTCGACAAGGACTTTTTGTGCGTCTGCCGCTGGAGGATCTTTTCCTCAATCGATCCGCTCTTTAAAAATAAATTGATCCAGTATAATTACGGAAGTTCTGAGAGAAGTACCGTGAATACTTACCGCTACCAAGCGATAAATGTAGCAGGGCTTCTTCTGACCATCGCGCCACACTCTGGCCATTGCCTGCTCATCGTTAGCCGGATTCCAATCAGGATCAAACATGAACAGGCGATTGGCTCCAATCAAATTTAAGCCGCACCCGCCAGCCTTGCTGCTCAGCATGAATAGGAAGGTATCCGACTGTGGGTCATTGAACCGGTCAACAACCTTCGATCGCTTCTTGATGGACATGGTGCCATCAAGTCGGACAAATCCGTACTTTCGCTTTCTCGCAAGTTGCTCAAATAAATCCAGGGTCTGTGTGTAGTTGGAAATGAGGACCACCTTGTCATTTCCATCTGCCCGTATGGCGGCTAGCATAAAGTCCAGCAGCATGAACTTGCCACTCAGCTCAGGATTGAGATCCCTTAAAGAAATATTAATATGTTTTAGTCCAATACAACAATACTGTTAGAAAACAAAATCTTGTGCACACTTACTTCGGTTTGTAGTTACTCGGCAGGACGTTTTGCGAATTCTCAAATCCCTTTTCCCGTGCAGTAATCTTATCATAAATAAGATCTGGATGACTACAAATTTTTTTCAGGGTTGTGATGTCCGCTAGGGCCGTTAACGAGGCTTTCTCATTACAGTCTTAAAAGAATTTAAATTGTGTACAAATTTTAAAGTACGTTAAGGAATGGCTTACCCGCCAGACTGCGGCGTACTTGATCCGATTTCAAGAAATTCATATAGAGCTCAAGCTGAATAGGCGTAAGCTTTGCGCAGATGACCATCTCAAACTTTACGGGCAGGTATTTTGTAAGAATCTGATTGGTGCGACGGATGATGCATTGATCGACCAGCCCTACCAACTCCTGCGTTTTCTCCATGGCTCGTTTTCGCTCCCCTTCCGTGGAGTCTGCATTCTGGCCTCGGAGAATACTGCTTTCGAAGTTTCGCTTAAAAACAGCAGCCGTGCCCAGCATCTCTGGGTTCACAAAGTTCACCAGACTGAAGTACTCCGTGAGGTCGTTTTGGATAGGCGTTCCGGAGAGCAGGACCCGACGTTTGGACTTTAGGCCCATAAGTGCCTGGTATGTGAGGTTGTCACTGTTCTTCAGCCGATGTCCCTCGTCGCATATAACCATTCCCACCTCGTACTTGCACAGAATGTCAGCATAGATGCGGAATGTCTCGTAGCTAATGAGCAGAACAGGGGTTCCAAGCCGCGACGAAGTCATGGAGAATTGCTCGAGGGCCCGGATGGTGTTCTCCTTGTTGCCACCCTCCATGGGCAGGCAAAGAAGCCGGCCTTGCAGCCACTTGGTGAACTCCTTTTCCCAGTTCTTCACCAGCGAGGACGGCGAAACGACTATGACCTTGTTAATAGTCGGCTTGCTTTCGGGACCTTGCCTTAGAAGTGTCCACACTAGGGTGACGCACTGTAGCGTCTTTCCTAGACCCATTTCATCGGCCATAATGCAACCGTTGAAGTTGCCCCGTTTTCCCTCGACACACTCGTACATAAAGCGCACCCCCTCCCTCTGATGCGGCCGCAGAATGTTGCAAAGCAGCGGATCTACTACGACGTGCACTAGGACCTGGCTGGGATCCATGGCCATGCGCTCGTGCTCCGAGTAGGCGGGCGGATTATATAGAACCAGGGCGTTGCAGGCCAACGGATCGTGGAGGGGTCGCCGGGAAATGCAGCGTTTTACTCCTAGGCAGCGGTTTCCACCGTAATCCGGAACGTAGTTATCGATGGGCACCTTGAACTTTCGGGCCAGCACCTTGGCAATGGCCCGCTCATACTCGCTGTTTGCAATGCGAATGGGCAGGGGAAGGTCTTCTGTGTTACCGCCATCTCGCAGGTCACTGTGGCGTCTCCTGTCAAGCTCCTGCTCCCGCTCCAAATCCTGCTGGCAGGCTCGTTTGTTCTTCTTCAGCAGCGGCGGAGTGAAATAGTGTCGCGACTCGGGACGCTGAGGACCCCGTTGGCTGGGCGCCAGGCTACGGCGCTTTAGAGGAACTCGGTTAAGTGGGGGATAAAATAAAAAAACAATATTATTTACCATTTCTTGAGTTTCAAATATCAGTCGCGCGAACAGCTGATAGGGATTTACGAGTCTGGTCACACAAAAATTGCAAGTCGCAAATATAATCGATGACTCGCCGACAGTGAATTATAGGTATTTTAAATGGGATATTGTTTTAAAAGTATGTTTTTAATCATTTTCCAACTAATTAAGAATTTATATTTCCCCAAACTTTTATATTGCATAAAGGTGTAAATAAAAATGTTGGAAAACCGCACGCATTATATGTATACCACAGAACAGGTACAATAGTTAATGTTGATGTAACTATAAAGCTGATCAACATTAAAATGGTACTTCCCAGCCAAATTAATATAACAAATAACATTCTTTTGCAAAAATATATGATGCTAAATCGTTTCCAAACAAAATAAAAATTATAATTATAATTATTTTAATATAAATGTATGTTTTCTGTCTTGTTAGCCTTTGCTTATACTACCCGTAGATATATTGGATATCTAAAAAAGGAAGTACTATTTTAACGCTCTACTTTTGCTGATCAAGATATAAGACTTTTTGCATCATGATCAGCTCTCTATCAGTGAACAGTGATCAAGTAGATTCGCTGATTACCAAAAACCGCGATATGTTCGATATATCGATATGTTTTGTGAGTAGTTGCGCATCTCTAACTTTCTATTTCTGTGCAGATAAAATTGTAAATATTTACGCAAATTTGCGCTCTAAAACGTTTAGAAATATTGAAAAATTATGCATTAGAGTAAGAGTTGGTTTGCCTTCCACTTGTTATCAACAAAAACAGCTTCAAATGCACGAAATTACTGCTGTCAGGACGCATCTTTAATCCGCAAATCTGCGGAAGTGTTGGTATAAGTACAAGCACTTAATTGTATTTGTAATTGTAATTGCCTAAGTGCCAAAAAAAACGCTGAAATGCAGCAAGCGTAAAAATAAATAGGGCTAAAAAATAATAATAAGCGTGGCGAGACGATGTATTGAGAGCAGAAAACAGCGAAGACGATGACGATCAAAGCCAAATTCATCAGGTGAGCGAGCAGCAACAACAACAACGGATGCCCAAATAGGTGTGCACACGTATGCAGGTGTGTATGTGTGTGTAAGTGTGTCACGGCGTGCACTTGTTGTTCTTGGGTTGATCATTAGTAAATAGCGAACATTGAGTAAATCTGCCTCTCTTTTTAGGTCCTAAATATTAACAAAACAAGCAACATTGAAATACTCACCACTAAAGCACAACCCGAGATAACAAAGTACCAGCACAAGTCAAGAAGAGAAGCACACGAAGCAGTTATCAGCGGACCAGCGCCACTAAAAACAACCAAATCGCACACACGAAACTAAACGATGTGGCTGCGTCAGAGCAGCGGCGGGGGCGTCGCCTCAGCCGGACACGGCGGTCCACTACGTCAGCGACCCATCGATGCCGCCACGGATTGCGATCCACGCGCCTGCTACGACAGCTTCTGCAAGCACTGGCAGCAGGCTTTCGAGATCATTCAGCATAGCGCTCCGCCCTCCCACGACGACGTCCTGGGCGTGGTGTCACACTTGGACTACATGGTCACCCTGCTGCTGGTGGAACTGCATCACTGCAACAAGGTCTCGCTCCCGTCGGCCGAAGCCAGTGGTCCGCCCGCGGCGCCCTGCCTGGAATTTCTGCTCAGCGAGAATCTACTGGACAAGCTGTACGAATGGGCCTGCACCACTGGGCGCTATGCCAATGCCGTCCGTCTGGAGCAGCTGAAGCTGTACGAACTGCTCGTCAGCCATTCGCGCCATCAGCTGCTTTGCCACGAGCCCTTCCTGCGACCCCTGCTCAAGATATTGGCCTCCAGCCAGGGCGAGATATTCCCGCCTGATCTGGAAAAGCGCCTCGTTATACTACTGAACCAGCTGTGCGTGGTTCTCATGCAGAACGTCCACCTGCTGGACCTTTTCTTTTTCTCCGCCCAAACACAAGTGCAGGAGCAGATTCTCAACGGCAGCGTCGCGGCACCTAAAAGTGGAACCACAACCAAGTAAGCATTACAGAAAATAGAAAATAGAATCCTTGATAGGTAAAAAAACGTTGATATGATATTTTTGTTATGAATCATTGACCACTATAGCTCTAAAGCCCGATAAGACAAAAATAATAAAAACGAACTGACCTTGGTATAGTCATAAATCGTGACTGTTTAAATTGTTTTATACAATCTAATTCTTGTTTTACTTGCAGTTTTATTATCTTCTCCCTGCTCATCCCGTACGTGCACCGCGAGGGCAGTCTTGGCCACCAGGCCCGCGATGCCCTGCTCCTCTGCATGGCGCTCTCGCAAAAGAACTCCAACATAGGCACGTACATAGCCCAGTACTCCTCAATCTGTCCCCTGCTGGTGACCGGTTTGGGCGGTCTTTACTCACGTCTGCCCAACAGCATCGAAATCAGCTCCATTGACTGGCACCGGATCACGCCAGACGATGTAACCGAGATCCCAGAGCTCACGCTATTCATGAATGCCCTCGAGTTCTGTAATGCAGTGGTTCAGGTGGCCCATGAGATGATCAAGCAACAGCTTCTGGACTTCATGTACCAGGGGTTCATTGTGCCCGTTCTGGGACCTGCTATCCTCCAGGTGAGTGTTGTAACGCTTTTGTCTCGTCTCCGTCTCGGTCTCTTCTCGTGAAAATTTGTCTTCGATGCATTTCTGTGGTGTTGGTTGCAAGCGAATCATATATATCCTATTAATTTGTAATATTCTTGAAATGGGGAACTACGTAGGTATTGGTTAAGAAAAAGTTAAGCCCAATATGTAAGCACATACAAAAGTAATATTTTAATAACAGTCTTACATAATGAGAGTGATAAGTAAAACCGGTAATTCTTCAGTGCCGTGCTTACAGCTCAGCTGTGTTAAAAAGCATTTCAAACAATTTCATACATGAATTTATAACTTGTTTGGGTATTATTTCATTTATTTTTAAGATTGAATGTGTTTTAAGACCATAACACATTTTTTTAATTCAATGAAATATGAAATTTAAACGGTTAATTCTAGTAACGTAAGATATATTTTGTATCTAGATTGGGGGAAGACTTTTTAAGAATTGACCAATAACTACGCTATTTCTTATATATTTCATTTAGAAATTCTGTCAGCTCTTAGGGATCTGCACCGCCTTCAGCTTTCTGTTTCTTGTGTGTTTCTTGTACCTTTTCCTCCCCGTAGCTAACCACACACACACCTCGAAATCTCGAAACAACTTTTTGCGCTCCATTTTCGCAGACACTGAAGGGCAAACATTTTCAGACGAACATCGACTCGCAAATCTCGGCTATGTCGTACCTGGACCTGATCCTGCGCTCCATTACCGAACCCGGATTGCTCCGAGCCTTTGTTCGCTTCTTGCTCGATACCGAAAAGTTTGACGGAGAACGAATATTGGATGCTCTGGTCGAACGGCTTAACTCACCCGATGCCAATCTCTGTATGGTTACGATGGCATTGTTTGACACCTTGCTGGGACTGCACTGTGAAGACCTTATGCTGGAACTGCTGCTGAAGTTCATGCTGCCGGGAAAGCATGTTCCCATCTCACATCGCCACAAGATCAACAAGATCGATCCGTATCTAAACAGCAGTGAGTTCTTTCTGGAACTCTCGCCTGATGTGATGAAGAGGGCCAGGGATCTGGCCAGGCCCAAGAGTATCCACGAACCGGTGGTAAGTGATCTGACGCCTTTGCCCAGTCTCCCATCTCCTGTCATGAGCAAGACGATTGGAGCCAACTGGAATTATTATGGAGTACACACGGGTGATAGTTTGTATGCGAATATCCAGGCATATCTCTTCGAGGCCCACTGGCGAATTGCCCAGTGCCAAAGGGATTGCCTCAAGTGGGCGAACAGCTATCGCTATCAAAAGTGGCCCCGCCACGGACAGGGACGAGTTCACGCCCACGCATTGGAACTGGCCAGACAGTTCTTTTGCGAATTCGGAAGTGGAGCTCTTATTGCCAACGAGACGGGTGAGAAACAGCTGGACAGCCTACAATCGATTGGCGAGTCCAGTGGCTACGAGTCCTTCAAATGGCGCCCGGCGGACGAGGAGAGCGAAGCCACGGATACAACTTTGGCCACAACAGCTAGCGATGCAGATCTGGAGCACAACAGCAGCAGCATCAGCAGCGTGCTGGGTGGATCCGGTAGACGAGAGATTTGGCGCACATCGCACAACAATCGCAACGAATTGCTACTGACGGATCTGGACTTCTCGGAGGATTTGTTTGCGCAGGGCACCGTAAGCTTAGGTAAGAAAAGTTGTTTAATAATCAAATCGAATGCCGATATATATTCATTTCCATTAATTATAATCGATTTCTTAAAGGTCCCTTTCTCAACGCCATCTGGGGCAAACTACAAACCTTTACGAGCAACTCGCTGTACGTAAATCTTCATCTTACCGGGTTGATCACTCGATTGGCCTGGTATCCCCTGCCGCTGATTCACTCGCTGCTGCTGCGCTCGGATATCGCCATCACTTCGGATACGCCCTCCTTCCACCAGGTGCTGCGGATTCTCAAGCAACAGATAGACGCAGAGCTACCGGTGACGGAGGATTCGCTTGAGATCATTGATGTGGCGCGTTCGTCCCTAATTGATCGGGAGTTCCGTTTGGCAAACGCACGAAAGGGTAACGACGGCTCTCCAATGCATCACAATCAACAGCAACAGATGGCTACAAATTCCGGGCAGCAACAGGGTCAACTACGATCTGCCTATGCGACTCTATCGGCTGCCACGCCCGTGCAGGCAACGCCCACCAGCGCGTACGATCCGTTTAAGCGGAGCGATAACAAGAGGCGGAGCATCAGCAAGTCCATAACTAGCATGTTTAGCAGGAAGTCGGCCTCCTCGTCGATAGCGCCACCCAATGGCTCTTCTGGTGAGTAGTAGCCGGCAAACTATTTCTCGGCACTCTTTTGCACAACTTTTATATTTCTTAAAAAAAGAAAAACCAAGAAAACAAAATAGAAATCACAAACAGTTTACGAATCTGCAGCGTTGGATGTTGGAAGAGAGTTGGTTTTGGGTCAAAATAAATACACACATCACTCACAAAAACACACTTACACATACTTCAGCCCTGCATTAGTGCCTGATACTATAAATAAAGCCATGTAATTCATTTGTCATTAATGCAAAGTAAACATAGAAGTCATTAAAACATTTAAATATATGGTGAAGCATATTATTGTGGCACTATTATGAACAGGACTCATTCGGGGCTGTATTTGGTTGACACATATTTCTGTAAAATTCCCGCAGGCGTTGTTTATAATAAATTAATTTCTTTTATTTCTTTATTTTTTTATTAAAAAAAAAAAAAAAAAAAAACAAATCTTAGCTTCATCTGGCTTATCACAAATTTACGCATTCTTCACCGGTAAATATTTCACGCTTGATAAAAGTTATTAAAGTTTTAATCAAACCTAACCAAAACTGGCATAGTCTTGTTAATATTAGTTCGTAGTTTCGTTATTCCCGTAGAGCTTTGTACATTTTACTTTTCCACTAAACCAAAAAAATAGTTGCAAGTAGAATGTGATGAACATCTGTGAAATCCCATTTATATGTAGTTACTGTTGCTGTTACAATTAACCCAAAAGGTCAATAGCACGATAAGACTTTACTAAACCCGCTTGAAATTTGTAGGAGCTGCTTCGAATCTGGTGGGAAATAGTGCCGAGGGAAGAGGATTTTCCCAAGGGCAGCCAGCCGCCGGGACATGCGAGACCAGTTTAAGTACGCAACCACAACCGGGAGCAACTCGCACAGGATCCACAACGACGGCTGTAGCGGCCTCTGGAAGCAGCAGCAACAGCAGCATTGGCGGATCCACACAAACACTCTCCGCCCAATCGAACACCACAACCCACTCGTCGAACACCCTGCACGGCCTGGATGGAGGTTCAGCCGCTGGTGGTTTCAACTCCGAGCCAGTGTCCCTCGACTCGGTGGCCTCCATGGGAATCATTGCCAGCACGAGTGGCACGGAGCGGTCCCGGGATTTGGCTCTATGTGCTGTACTCATGGATGAGTGGCTCAAGGAGCTGGCGGCCATTGCGCAGGAGCAAAGCGTTGTGCTGGTCACGGAACAGGGGCCTTTATGATCGCTTGGAGCAGATAGCAATGCAGATGGTGATACAGACGACTTGTGTATACATTATTTTACGGATTTGTTGGCTTTTGTTTGCTTTAACCAGCTACTCTTACGAAATTATTTCTTTTTACCTGTTGGATTATCGATATTTATATTTTTAACAACCATTTCTAACGAACAATGCCGCAGTTTTGAACAGATTTACAATTTAATGCAAACGGACTCAAACAAAAAACACTCACACGTTATCCAAGATAGAATGTAGGTTAAATGTCGTAAGCGGATTAGGACGGTGGATTTTAAGTGTTCAGATGTAATCAAATATTCTAATTAACAGCCGTATGCAAAATTTACAACGTTTTTAGAGAGAATTATATAACACACATACTATGTATACATATGTATTTTTGCAATATATTTTATGCTTTTATGTACATACATATGCAAGATCAAATTACCCAAGTTATGTAAAGCCAACTTGAAAGTATTAAATTGGTTCAAGTAAATGCACAGCCAAGAAAGATATATAAGATTTTTCTGTTTTACGGTTATTCAATGAGTCATTTGATTCTTGTTTATATGTGTATGTTGGTATACCTGATATTCAGGTATTATCATAACCACCCCTTGGGATTTCTAGTAATAACTGTAAAGATTTTTCTATATACAATTGAGAACTTTAGTAAAATATTACAAGTCAATTAACATCCAATCAAATAATGGATTCGTCTCATCGAGCTGAGATCAATCCAGTGCTTTTTTCGCCGGAGTTGCTGCGAATTAGGCAGCATGTTGATCATCAGTCGTTTACCAATGGTGGAGCAGTCGCGCCAAAAGATAGTGTACACAAATGAGTTCCTTAGTGTCCTGTGGCGGCTGCAAAGTAATGGTGCCGTTTTTAAAGTGGAGACACAACTCCTGAGGTTGATACAGCCTTGAGTCTGTCAAAACCGGCACCTAGCTCTGCTCCAAAAGGAATCGTTGGCCGTTTGCGTGGGATCGCAGTTGTGTGGATTGCGTTGGTTGTTGCTCACGAGAAACGCGTTGTTGCTGGAAATCGAAAAGGTAATTGGAATTGCCAGTGAATAATCAGCTCAGAGCAATTTTTAATTCAAACAGTTCGGCTTTAAAAATGTGAAAGGCTGTCCAATATTCATAAGTACTTATAAGTACGAGACAAAAATCGCTACAAAAGTATCCGTGCGAGAATACACAAAATTTATAACAAATTTTTTTTTATTTATATATTTTTGAATATAAAGTCGTATTAAGAACAAAACTTAAATTCATATTGGAATGTAAACTAAATTCTTAACTTATGTAGAATCGATCCAGTTAACAATTTGCGCCCCTGCTAAATTTGAGTGGAGTTCCATACCGAGTATATTCGATTTTTTCAGCCTAATCGATCGTAAAAATATCGTTCACGATAGTTGTATCTATCCCATCTCTAGAAATCCGTCCAATTCAGTCACAAAACTACGGTCGTTGTGATCGTTCACTGTTTAAAAAACACAACTATAGATCGCCGGTAGAAATATCTCGTTGTTGTTGTTTCCCTGCAAAACAATCGTGTAATAAAAATGGTAAATTTCTGCACACCCTGTTTTTGAGATATTCGCATCGGTGATTAACTATCACTATATTTTTGCCAATTTTGTTAATGTTCTTTGGCCTTAATCGCGAGTGTCAAGAGAATTTCCAAATGTAAGGAACACCGGCTCAAACCGCCTTTTTTGGGCTTTGGCGTTGCGAATACGAAAATAGTTCGCGAAAACGCAGCAGGCGACGCGTCTTTTTGGCTCTCGAAAAGGGCAGGCTGGAAAACTCGAAAACTGGAGCCAATAAAAGATACATACAAGAAAAATAAGCGAGTGCGCGAATTCGACTGCGTGTGCGCTGCGAATGTGTTTGTGCGGAACCAAAAAAAAAAAAAACAAACAAACAAAACTAGTGTGAAGAATAATTTGCGCTGTTTAAACAATTAGCCGCAAAACAAACGCCGGAGTGATTGTATCTGTGTGTGTGCATCTGCATCTGTATCTGTATCCCTGGAATGCGCAGTCGCGCATGCGCAAATATTTGTGATTTGTTTTGAAAGGAAAGAAGGAGCAACAGAGAAGGAGCGATCGAGAGAGGGAGAGAGATCCAAAGAGAGGGATCAGATTGGAATAAAAAACACATCTCCTGGCATTCGCAAAAGGTGAGTTTTGCTGTTAGATTGGCAACAGCAATTGCAGTTGTTGTGGCCAAAGTTTCCATTTTCCCCTGCCCACGTTTTCCAACACAGTGAAAAATTAATATACATTTTCATCTGATAAATTAGTTAAGAAACATTTCTAATCCATCGTTTTTTGGCATCAAATTAAGATCGAGCTATAAATATACTTGAATTGTGGTTGCCACATATCTAATTTGATTTATAGAAACCTTATTTTGTAGAAGGTTAGAGGTTTGGAAGTTCGATTGTAGTTCTATATATAGATTTACCTTTTGAATACGACCCCTACAAATTTATGTTTTTGATTTTATATTTTTGTATTCTTAGTGCTCTAATAATCCAGAATGTTTACGGCACAATATTATAAAAGTCTTTCCAAAATGTAAATATTTAGATGCCATCGTCCCTATTCTATTTGCAAGGTAATAAAGGTACTAGTATGTTCGATAAAGACTACTTATTTTAAACAAGAGAGAACGCTATAGTCGGGTGCCCCGACTATCAGATACCCGTTACTCAGGTAAAGGGAGTGCGAGGGAGATGGAGATAGAAACTTTGATCACGCATAACTTTTTAACGAATGGTCCGATTTGAAAAATTTCTTCTACATTTCAATAGGTATTGATAAACACAATAAAACTGCATTTTTACTTTTCCGAAATATTTAAATTTTTAAAATCGTATATAAGCGATTGTGGGCGTTAAAGGGGGCGTGGCACCATTTTGAAACAAACTTGCGCTGCGTAGGAACTTCTAAAATCTACATGCAAAATGCCAATCTTCTAGCTTTTATAGTTTCCGAGATCTCAGCGTTCATACGGACAGACAGACAGACAGACGGACAGACAGACGGACAGACGGACAGACGGACAGACGGACAGACGGACAGACGGACAGACGGACATGGCTAGATCGACTCGGCTAGTGATCCTGATCAAGAATATATATACTTTATAGGGTCGGAAACGCTTCCTTCTAGCTGTTACATACTTTTGCACGAATATAATATACCCTTTTACTCTACGAGTAACGGGTATAAAAATTACAAAGTGAACGCACCTGCTGTTATGAATTTATGAAGAAGCCAAAATAAAGTGTTTAGTTTTGAGGGCATCTTTTATTGTTAATTTTAACTGAAACATACATACAAATTATAACTTCTTTCTAAAAATATAAACAAATAAAAACTTAATTTTTTGAAAGCGTGTGTTTAAGTAATAACGTATAGCATTACTTCTTTACGTGCATAAAACCCACGTCCCTCGGTTAAAAATCCCTGGGCTCGGCCCACTCGAAATTAACTCATTGCCCCCTCTTTTTCCCTTCGATCCCGAAAATTGCTCTATTCTCTTTTCGGTACGCCCACTTTGTCAGCGCTACGCCCACCTTGGCTATTTGTTCTTCTTTTGTCTTTGGTTTTCCCAACCGAAGGCGGCAGTTTTTCCCTCCACTTATCGCTCGGACACTATGGATGGGATGGCCCATAAAAAGTCCGGGTAAAAATCAATTTTCAAAACAAGCAGGACAAAGAGAAGGAGAAAAGGAATATCGGACGACAATAACATCAATTTTGAGGCATTTATATGCGCCAATAAATTCAAGAGAGAGAGGGAGCGAGAGATATGTACATATAGTATCGTATCCGAAGAAAGCAACAAATAACAGGCAGAAAGATACACGACAACGCGCAACAATAAGACACAAGATCAAACAAAACCAGCGGTGCAGCATCCATGTTGTTGTTGTCGTTGCTGGTGCGGCAGTTGCAGCAGCAACAGCAGCAACAACAACAGCACTACATCAGCAACAGGTAAAAGCAGCGTTTCGAAATGCCCGCGAGTGAAAAAGAGACAGCGAGCAACAACCTGTTACATCGACTTCTGCCTGAAATATGTAAAGTCAATTTCGTGTATCGGAAAACTGTAACTAATGCCAAAGCGTCGGCAGCACCAGCAGCATTAACCCATTAACGCGAAACGGAGAAATCGGCCAAAAACCCACTACTTTTCCTAGGGTTATATGCCAAAGCGGGTTGGAGAAAATCGGCCAAACAAAACAGCTTCTTCAAAAAATTAACCTGTTTGCATAAATTCAATTACGAAAATTAAATCATTGTCTTCGTCTGGCAATTTTATACTTAATAGTGTTCATCGATGATCAACAGCACGCTTCGTTCTTATCTGAACATAATTAAGTGATTTGTTGTGTTGTGTCGGATGTCAACAAAAAATGTGCAGGTGTTTTTAGCCAATAAACTGCTTTTAAAGAATATGAAATATTTGAAGCGAAAATGGTTTATTATTTCTTAGGCTTTTTTACGTTTTATAACCAAGTCACTTGTGGGTGTTTTAATTATTTAATATAGCAATTTATTCTGATTTTAAATCATAATAAAGTTTTATCACAAAATCGCATGCTAAAAGAAAATAAGTTGAAGTACTTTCTAAAATATCGTATGTTTTAGTATTTGATATTGGTTTCTTTGGTGTTGTAAGCCCAATTGGACTTAAGGAATGTAAGGCTTGTTACAAATATTTATAAGAGTTTCCTGACTTGGCGTGGCATCTTAATGGGTTAAGATCTGTGCCCGCGGCCAAGTTCGTTGTACGCGGCGGAAAATAAAAGACAGCCGAGTAAGAAATTTTTGTCAATGAAAGAAAACTTTCTTTTGGGCTTATCCACGCCAACATCGCCGCCGGTCCTCTCACACTCATTCGTTTTCTTTCTTCCTCGCTGGTGATTTTGTTTTCTGTGTCGCCTTATTTTTTTATTCTTCTTTTTTGTTTAATTGGTCGGTTTTTAGATTTACGCGCGCCTGCCGCCATCTGCAGTATCGGGCGTTTTTACGGCTGGAGACTCGGCTTGGGCCTTGGTATCACCTCGGGGTCTTCATGGTCCATTAAGACAATTTAGACTGGCTTCTCTTTTCCGGGCGTTCATCGAGTGGGAGTGGGAGTGGCAGGGGCGGCATGGGAGTGACTGCTGCGTGGGAAGGTTCGTCTGTTTGTCTGTCTGTCATCTTGGGGCTGCCAGTTTGATTGCCTCCAAGTCAAGTCATCCAGCCATCGAGTGTCCAAGTTGCCGCAACAAGTGTCCCAGTTTATGGCCCGGCTAGAAGCCAGCTACTCGTACTAGAACTAGTTTAAGTTTCCTGTCCCGGCCGCCATCGCTGGAATCTCCTCCACATAGTCACATAGTTGCACACACTTGCGGTGGGAATGGTAGAAGTACCAACCAACAAATCAACAATTAAGTTCACTAAATATATTTAATAGGGTTTCTGAAATAAAAAAATTAACTAAACAATGAAAAATCTTTTTTTTTGATTTTTAGTGGCATGAATATCTGAGCAATTTATAATATAAAATGTATTTAATTAGTAATTACCCAAACATATTCGAAGGGGAGTGACATAAGTTGATAAAATTGTTCCATCTCCGAAATTTCCCTATGCTTTTTGAGGAATAATATAAATTGATATTGTACAATAATTAAAACGTCCATGAAGACTTATAAACCATATGAGTGACATATTTTGTGCTATTAATATGACCGCAACTGTGACTTGCTCACGCTTTTCCTTTGGGCTCAGTTATGTTGACTGTTGCTGCCGTTTCTGCGGTCGCCGCACCCTCCAGCCCCCCAAGCCCCCTAAGACCCCTTTGAACCAAACCTACTCCCCTGTTATTAACCGTTTGGCCACATTTTCTCACACAGAGAGCGCAAAAATGCTTCGCAGGCCACTCTGGCAATTGGCGCGCCTCTGGAAATGACAAACGGCCATGGGGAACCAGAAGGGGGCGTCTCAAGTGGAGCTCCACTAAATTACTGAAATCTAAAAATATTCTAAGCATTCTCCGGGAAAATTGATTCGGAATAACTGTATCAGAATGCTAAAAAAACAAGTCTCAGCTGGGGATGCTATAAATTCCTGAAATTATCGAAACGGGACCGGTTGAAAGTTATGATAAGTGATCTATAGATCGTCATATCATGTTCTGAGCATGTAAATCAGATAAAAAAGCTTACAAATATAATTATATGTCTTCTACTTGGGGTAAGTTTATTGTATTATCTCAGATTTTGCAGAGACTTTTATAACAGTAATTTTTAAAAGGATTTCAGTATGCCTTTTAAATGAAAACTACATTTATGAAAAAAATATATACAACGAAGTATTAATAATATTAAAATAAATGTATTAACGTGACTAGTGCAGTAAAGAAAAGTTTCATTTTTCATAGCGTACCGAAACAATAAAATTGAAATAAATTTAAATTTAAGGGAAAGCATAAAACATCTATTAGTCTGTGCATTTTGGATGGCCAGTATAAAGTACTCTATATTCTTTTATCCAGAAGAGGATTTCATTACACACCAAACGGGTTCTCCACATATCTTTGTAATAGGTAAATGATCCAATTCGACATAAATGTCGAAGGAATGTAAATGAGATCAGTCGACTGGAACTGTTATTAGATCATCAATGCTCAAATTGGATCCGATCATCCGGGCTTTTCGTTCGATTTGAAGAGTGCTCCACTTCAAGTTCATTAGCCAAAGGCCTCCTTAACTTTCCATTCGCTCTGCTTCTGGCCAAAACTGGCCGCCAACGTTCTCCTGTCGGCCCAAAACAGCCCCACGTAACTGTAACTGATTTGACCTCCCATCACTTAGCTACCAAAAAACCTCCTCCAAAAGCGTCGTTTTTCTCTGCTGCTGCCGTTTTGGCATTGTGAATAGTTATGGTTATGGTGGAGATGGGGGGATTGGGGGTTCGGGAAACCGACGGATGCGACGGAACTGAGGGGCGGCATTGGGTCTGTTTTGATGCTCGCTTGGCGGAGCGGTGTGACCTCGACAACAAATTTCTATTGCATGCAATTTGGAGAATATCGCATGTGCAAATGAACATTAACACTTGGCGGTCGCTCGAGAGATGGACAATAAAGAAAAGACCAAAAACTTGTTTGTACAACAGA